CTGTTGTGATCTCAAGTTGTATGAGGTCTGAACCTTCCCTTCTGTTTTTGCGCACCCCTTTTAAAGCATTTAGCAGTGTGTGCATAAACTCATCTCCAATTGCGGAGCTATCAAAAGGAGCAGTGCCTTGATTAGGCGCTTCTGCGCATGCACAAGCTACCAATTTTTTAAAAAGTCACCTGACTGCCTGCTTCGTGGCTGCTGCACGGCACTAATCTGAACGGGCAGCCACAGGGTGAGCGCATGGTGAAGCAGGTTATGGGTGGATGTTTGAAATTCTCAGGCGAACAAAACCCTGGATTGAATTGGAGGCATGGTCAGAACTTGGAAAGTATGCCGTCTGATCACAGCCTGTGTCTCCATTGAGTGGAACTCATGGGTCCTTTAAAAGGCTGAGAGCAGAGGGAACGATATGGTAGTCATTAGCAAAACTGGCTACATGGTATGCTAGGCAAAAATGACACAGGAGTGTAGCCTGTATCCCTGTTTTTGTAGTCTATCACAAGTTGAACCATGTTTTATCATTTTTAGAGAAGACCCTTGCTGCATGTTTCATGTTTCTATATTGAAGCACAATCCAGGTGATCTATGCAGTGTGTTTCCTTGTGAATGTAGTTAAAATTGTCACTTTTTAAGTCACAATGTTGACTGAAAGTAAAGCTATGAGTTTTATTTACACTGCTTTGCTAAAACTTTGAATCATTTTCAAAGCATTGGGTTGGTTCCAGACTATATTTTCCATTAGTACAAGGGGGTGGGGTAATTTCTACCAGTTCTCTCTTCTGTTGTGGACTCCTGATTTGATTCTCACACTGTTCCTGATGAACTTCTCACCCCCAGGACAAGGATTTTGGGGAGATCAGTGGGCTGCAGTGGTAATTTTCTGTTCTGCTGACAGAAGTGTCTTGTGTGAGCAGAAAAAATTTGTTCAGATCCAGCTAATCTTCACTACAGCGGATGACGTTATTTCTATTTCTCCATGGCACATTGATGGAAGCCTTAGCTCTTCCATGCAACATTCGCCATTGTTAGGAATTCTTTATTGATTGGCAGACAGATAATGTTCAGATCCAGCTAATCTTCACTACAGCAGATGACGTTATTTCCATTTCTCCATGGCACGATGGAAGCCTTAGTTCTTCCGTGCAACATTTGCCATTGTTAGGGATTCTTTATTGATTGGCAGACAGATGCGTCCTGCCACATGGAAAATTTCCCTTCCATGTCATAGGCAATGCTCCCTCTAAGCTGTGGAGTCTTGTGAGCAGAAATTCTACTTTGTGAGCTATTGGCATTAAAGTTGTGAGCAAACAGTTTGGCTACTGCATGAATTAGTTTGCTCTGGAGCCATCCTTCCTGAGCTAAGACAAAAATGTGTGAGCTGGAGGCTAAAAAACTGTGAGCTAGCTCACACTAACTCAGCTTAGAGGGAACACTGGTCATAGGTGTACTAATGTGCTGGTGGTAACCCCCATGTCCAGCCTTACAAATTCTGCAGATTGATCAGTGCCTAATTTCCCCATCGGCTTTTGTTAGCAAGTTGCAGTTGTGCAGGAAGTAGACCCACTTTTCTCATGAGACAAAACAACTAGAACAGTGTCTGTCCTGCCAGTCTTGCGTGTTATATGAAGATTTCCATGTGTGTGTACCTAGTATAGCCATGAGAGTCAGCATTCTCAAATTGCAAGGCAGAGGAGGAAGTGCAAGCAGTTTCTAAGATTGAGGTCCAATTCTTGTCTATATAGGTTGGTTCGTAATGACTTTCTTTGTAGTCCATGCAACACTGGTGGTTATGCCTTCCTACTACCTGATTGACAGTAGAGGGATGGAGACAGCCATGATGTGCTTATAAATATGGGGTTCTCTGTGTTGTCCTGCTGAGTTGCAAAGAGAATTTTAATACAAATCAAGTGTTGGTCTACCCTGAGGTGACTGTCTTAGGGTTGGCAGGTCCCTCCTGGCAGTCAGTGGGGGATTGGGAGGGACTTGCCAGGAGGAAGCGAAAGGCCCAGGCCACATCGCCAGTGTCACACAGTAAGTGATGTCATCATTCCAGTGACTTCCGGGCAACCATCGGGTATTTGGGCAAAAGCTCTATGATAAAACTGCCCAAGTACCGGAGCGTCACCCAGAAGTCACTGGTGTAATGACATCCCTTCCTGTGTGATGCCGGTGATGTGGCTGGTCTTTCCTCTTTCTGTTTCTAAATCCCCACACTGGTCAGCTGATTGGCGGCTGGGGGCCAGGGCTTGACTGCAGAGGACCCCACCTCCACCGAGGGTTCTGGCAACCTTAGGCTGTCTGAATCCACACAGTGTATGGTCATTCCTAATTAATATGGTTTTCTCATATCGTGGGCACCTTTGGATTGGGTCTGGCCACGTTTCACTCAGTGTCCCCCAAGTCCACTTCTCACTGCAGACCCCACCCCACATGACTTTTGTCCAGGCAGGTCCCATAATCCCCTGCATAGCCCTTTTTGGTGACCCTTTCCTTTTTTCAGTAGCAGAAGAGCTGGTTGAATCCAACCCCCTGAAACGTACAGAAGTCTCTGGCTGCTTCCTCTTCCTTAGATGGGCTCGTCCTGGCAAAGTTTAGCTAAGGAGTCTTTGTTTTGTCATTAGGCTTAGAGAGGTCCTTGACTGAGCTCCCCAAGTCTTTTGGTTTAGGAATTCTCACCTACGTCAAAGTTTCACGATTGCCACACAAGGGTGAAACAAACAAGTATATTGTGCTGTGTTAGGGTCGCTCTGAATTCACTGGTCCCTTGAAGGTGCATACTGTTCTCTAGTTGGGAGATACAGAACAAAGTATAGAACAGCCTTGTGGAGGAGGTGTGGAAAAAAATCCATATATCAAAACCTGAAGTCTAGGCCAAGGCTGTGGTCTTGCGGAGACAAACAAGAGATTGTATTAAAGCATACCACCCCGAATACTCCTTTGGTTTTCCCCTCCAAGTCAAATAAAATTGACAAAAGGAAAGCCCGAAGCAAATAGACTACAGTGTTTGGAATTTCCATTGTGGATGGCTCTTACACTTCTAGCTGCAATTGACTGCAGTCCACCTTTTCTGGATATTGGTTTAGCTGGGAAAGTATTAGGGAATGTTTTATGAACTTATATGTCTGACCCACAAGGCCTTCGCTCTGCGGACTCAGCAAGGATGACCCACAAGGTCTAGAGGCACCATCTGATCTGCTCTGGGCTCCTGTGGCTTCCTTGCCAGGGTGAGCTGGTCTCTCTGCGGGTCCCTTCTTCAGCTGGTCCTGGGCGATAATGCTCAGTCTGAACCCGTGCCCAATATCCCTTAGATTGCCCGTTTGAGGCTCAATGCAGGTTTCATTTCCTGCAGTTACCGTTCTGTGGATGATCATTCCAATTTTAGTATACGTGCTGCCAAAGCGACCTTCGGCTGTGGATGATCATTTTTTCCCTCCATGGCTGGCTGTATAAGCAGCACTCAGAATTTTTGTTTTGTTTTGAAGGACCTTTGCAGTCCTTGGGAAAGTGCAAGCGTAGTGAACAGACAGCAATAATTACCTCCTATTTTTAGAGCAATTGCACCTCATGTCCTGTAAAAACCACAGACATTGTCCAATCAGTTCTGCTTTCCACAACAAGGCACTGGTGCCAGGTTGCCAGCTACCATTTAGACAAATTGATCTCTCCTTCACAATGCAGTGCTATAAATCCTGGCTTGGTGATTACTTGTCTTTAGAAGCCTCATGCTTTCTGTTAGTCAGCACAGAAGCCTGGCTAAAGTTAACAACAGACTAAGGGGCCATCTTATTTCTCTCTCCTTTCTCCCATATTTTCCAGTGTATTGCTATGTTAACACACGGTCAAGCTGAAGATTACAACTAGACTTCAAACACGCTACATAGACCTCTTGACCTCCTTACTTACAGAACTCAAAAGGCCTGCCTTGAACTCCTCTCCCTTCCCCCCCCCCCCAATCCCATCCTGCATTCAATTTTTGCTTTGGGGTTTGAGTTTGTGCTTTGCCACAGAAGCAAACTTTTTATACTCACCTGCAGATATTTCAGGATGCTTAGGTTTCAACAAGATGTCAATTGACTTCAGTTAATTGGGCAGTACGTTTTTTACAGAGTGGTCTGTTGAAGTGCGGCCCTGGTTAGTATTTGGACGGGAGGCCACCAAGTAATTCCCGGGTTGTTATCCAGGGGAAGGCAATGGCAAACTACCTCTGTTTGTCTCTTGCTTTGAAAACCCCGTGGGTTGCCATAAGTCAGCTGCGACTTCACACAGACACACTCTGTTGAAGTAATGATGGATATGATTCCATCCTTCCGGTGGTTTTTGTTCCATTGTTTGTTCTAATGATGATATTTGGTATTGGCCGATATGCTTCTGTGGGTGTCATTAGCACAAGGTGAGGTGGTTGACTAGTAGCTTAGGTGGCATTCAGATGAATTTATGGGAGATGGGTGTATTGCTTACTATTAGTCATGAGGGCATCTAAATGGCACTGCTGTGTTCAAAAGCAGTGCAGTTCTGATAACCTGATGAGTTGCACAAATACCAGGTAATGTTACCACCCGCATGAACTGCTGGTAAGCATCCCAGTAACATCTGGTTAGTGACTGGGTGCCTGCCTAGGTGGACCCTTATCCTGATTCTGCAAGGCAGTAGATAGGATCTTACAATTCCAAAAGTTCTCCTGCTATCAGGTCTAACGCAGTCTATTCCAGTAGAATAATTACTGGGCAAAAGTCAATTTGCATGAGCTCTGTCCACTTTAAGTAGAACAAGCGGCATTATGTGTGTTCCACAAAGTACCACAAACATTTTGCAGGGTAGAGCAAACATTTGCAAGGTAGAGCAAACGGTGACTTGGTTGTATGGATGTAGCTCTGTTGATTGTGGTGTGTCTAGACTTGTGTAAGCGGTTGGCTAATTTACTGCATGTTTTTGTACTTCCAAGTTCTAGTTGGATGTTATTTCAAATGACACATTTTCTGTGTTTCTCTCCCTTATAGCATCAAGCTTTTGGCTGTGCAGGAGTTGGTTGACAGAGATGCCCTGGAAAAGGTATTTTAAATCTGTTTATGAAGCGATGTAAGCACAACTCTGCTGTTGTCAATAGGACCCCCTGTTTACTGTGAATCGTGCCACATAAAGAAGTGATTCCTGCAGCGCATGCTTCATATTGCCTCATGTTCTCAACTTCAATGTGCTGTCTTTCTGTTTATTGGCACGTGACAGTTCACAAAAGTCTGGATCTTGTAACTGCATTCCACTGGTAGTGAGCTTTTCTGCCAGCGAAAGGAGTCTCGTCCACCATCAGAAAGCTCCTTCTGCCAAAAGAAAGTTCCGCTGTCAGTGGAACGGAGACAGAAGGCCTAAGTCAAAGACCAGAAGCCCCTCTGCTCTTTTCTCTGCTGGGCATGATGATTCGGGACTAGACTATGGTCTACATATCTGCTTTTGAACTAGGCCAAGATCCAAAGGCCTGTTCAGCTGCACTCACCAGAGGCTCGGCACTTGAGCTTCTTGAGTAGTGCTGTGGGAAACCATCTAGTTTCGAAGCAGTTTGTGATACTGCAGGGTTGTGTGGAATAAAAACATGCATCTTTTCAAAGGGGGGGGGGTAAAAATGCATGTGGAAGCCCTTGCATGTGCCTGGAGTAATTCTTTGGCTCTTGATCATGGAAATTGCCTGATTTGCTGCTGCCACCCTTTGGGTGGTGTGAACAAAAGCTAATTCTGAGTAGATGAAGCTGCCTTATAGCGAGACCACCGGTCTGTATAGTGCATTGTCTATTGTGGCGGGTTGTGGATCTCCAGGGTCTTGGGCAGAGAACAGTATTTCTCATCACGCACTACCTGAATGTCTAGGGATAGGTCTTCGGAGCCCTGGCATGCTCTCTGGCTGAGCTGTGCCTCCTCCCCTTGGTAGCCTTTTGCATTTCACTGACTTTTTCTTTGGTCCTGGGCAATGCTCCCTCTAAGCTGTGGAGTCCTGTGAGCAAAAATTCTACTTTGTGAGCTACAGGCATTAAAGTTATGAGTGAGAGATTTGGCTACTGCATAAATTAGTTTGCTCTGGAGCCATCCTTCCTGAGCTAAGACAAAACCCTGTGAGCTGGAGGCTAAAAAACTGTGAGCTAGCTCACACTAACTCAGCTTAGAGGGAACACTGGTCCTGGGGAAATATCACAGAGGAGCATCGTGCCACTAAGGCATGCACATACTTTTATACAAACGTAAGTGGAGATGTGTGCGTCTGTATATATTCCAAGATTTTGAAGATGTCGTATTTTGAACCACGTATCTTTTTATTTCACCTAGAGATGTAACATTTTCAGAATGTTTGAAGCTATCTGGGGGAAATGGGTGTTTTGTTTTGGAGAGGGAATGCACTGTGTGCAATACTTTATGAAACGTAAGCTTACTTTACAATTTAACAACATAAAATGCATCATTTATAACTTAGCATGTAAATTAGTACTGTTTGCATATATATGAAATTTTAAAAGTGTAAAGCCTTAGTTTTATAAAAGCCTGACCTAGATAGCCCAGGCTAGCCCGATCCTGTCAGATCTCAGAAGCTAAGCAGGGTTGGCCTTGGCTAGTATTTGGAAGGGCGACTTCCAAGGAATACCAGGGTCGTGACGCAGAGGCATGTAATGGCAAACCACCTCTGAAACGTCTCTTCCCTTAAAAACAAGTCTAGCTCGCCACCTAGTGGTGCATAATGCTAAAAAGGCTAGAACTTGTGGCTGCCAGACAATCCTAGGATCTCCTGGCTGTTCTACACACAATGCCATACGATAATTATTAATTATTATTTCTAAGAACAAAATAGTGAATACACCAACACCAGAGAAAAAGAGAGAGAACCGCAGACTGCTGCGCCTTATTCTGTTTCACATATTTATCATGGTTTTTGCTATCCAGGTAGTAGGTAAAATAAAAGTTAAAAACAGTAGACAGAAGTTTTATAGTAAATAAAATGAAGTATATTATATGGACTGGACAGAACCAGTCTAATACAATCCCCAAACAACTGAGATCATATTGAATTAGAGATGCTGCAAATTTCTCAGTGAATCTGTTCAACAGATGAATTAATCTTGTTTAACATTCGTGATCAGACTGTGATCCATTCAGGGATAAGTCTGGATTACAAATGAACAACTCAAACCTGCTGCCGAACCCTAATACACATGAACAGGTTGTGAACAGCCAGATAGCCTGCAGATGTCTGAGCATCCCTAATTTTGGTGTCAAACGTTCTAACACTAAAAACAATTAACTTCAACAGTGTATTATCATACACATTGGAGCGAATTGATGGTGGACACAATTGGTCGTGTTTAAACCCTCAATGTATCCTTGTATTCATCTGCAGGCATAAGGATCTTTCTTATTTAATGCTGTAGATTGTTGTACATAAAAAATCTTTATTCTACTTGTTTTGAATGAGTAAAACCTTTTCTCAAGAAGTGTTTCACTCATTCCAAAGGAGCAAATATTCCCATTCAAGGAAGGGGACGAATTTTCACTCCACTTTCCCCCCCAGGCCCTCCCATCCCGAACTACAGTAAACAGGCCTAATGATTTTTTCCCCTGCTTTCTTTCTGCTCCGGTATAATATTTCCTTTTGCCATCAAGTGACTTTTCTTTTAAAGTGTAGACTGCAAATGCATTTTCAGTGGTTTCCTCCCCACTCCCACCCCAACCTTGCAGTGAAGTGCATTTCAGCCTGATCAGGGCTTCTGCACAATTAAACCTTTGTTACCTTTATCAGTTCTGATTCTCTTTTCACAGCAAAGCAAACTGCTCAGTCATGACACAGCTGTTAAGCAGAGGTTATGCACTGCCCAAATACAACTCCCCCGGCATTCTGTTGGCTTAAGCCTAGAGATGGCTGCTTTTATGTGAATGAAGCGGATTAACACGCAGTCTTCTGTGCTTACAGCATTGCTTTATAGGCCATACATATGCAAATGTAAGCTGGCTCATAACCTGTTGGCCTCCTTATCCCAGTAATTGAGTTTCTTCGCAGCAGGGGCAGATTGGCTGTTTAACTTAGGGTGCCATTTCCGGCTGGACTGCTGGCCTAGAATGGTGGCCAGAAGCATTTTGGCAGTGCCTCCGATGCCGCCTGGCTCTGACCATAGGCAGTGGCGGTGTCAGCTCACCCCTTGGCTCCTCCCACACTGTTGTCAGTTTGCAAGAAGAAACGGTGCAAGAAGTTGGCACTGCTGAGCTGAGCAGTCCCTGCACCGCTATCTTGTAACACCTCAGGGACCATTCAGCTTGGCTTCCTCTCTGGTCACTTTCACTTCCCAGTCTGCTTGTCTCTTGTAGCTTTTGGGGGGACCTGGGGAGGCAGTGCTAAAACAACATAACCCAACCAACCAACCAACCAACCAACCCACCCACACTGCAGATTCATGTGCACGTACCTTAATTGTATGAACAATTCTCTTTCCAACTAGGCCGTAGATTCCCACTGACCCCTTTCCAAAGTGTCGATCAAGACTGTGAATGCTCTAGGTGCCAGGCTTGAGCCACTGGGGGGTGGGAGGCACGTTTGAATCAAGATTTGGGAAGCAAGCTCATCTCCCACTTGTGGTCTGTGAGGTCAGTGGCGGGAACTGGGACCACGAGAAGCTGAAAAACAAAAAAGAAACTCCCTGCCCTGGCTAGCCCAGGCGTGCCTGGTCCCGCAAATCTCAGGAGCTAAGCAGGGTCAACTCTGGCAAGTACTTGGACGGGAGCAATGCTCCCTCTAAGCTGTGGAGTCTTGTGAGCAAAAATTCTACTTGGTGAGCTGCTGGCATTAAAGCTGTGAGCAAGCGATTTGGCTACTGCATAAATCAGTTTGCTCTGGAGCCATCCCTTCCTGAGCTAAGAAACAAAAACATGTGAGCAGGAGGCTAAGAAACTGTGAGCTAGCTCACACTAACTCAGCTTAGAGGGAACACTGGACAGGAGACCTCCTTGGCATACTAGAGGCAGAAGGTGGGGGCAGGCTTTACTCAGCCACCTCTCTGAATATCCCCCAGGCCCCCAGTAGGGGTCAGTCACCAGAGGTCGCCATGACTTCCAGGTGCACATACACTCACATGCACACGCACACACAAACATGCACATATCGAAAATACAAAAAATACCCCAAAAAAGGCCAGAAACGCTTCCATTAACTATACCAGTCCTTGGCCTAGCCAGAAACGTCATACTGCTGCTGATCACAAGGCCAGTTGTTGCAGAAATCCTGATTCCTTCCGTGCTTGATGAGGTTGCTCATGCCTGGACACTCCAGGTTAGAAAAACCGAGTCTCGCTATGGTTGCTGGCCTCCAGGTGGGGCCTGGAGATCTCCTGGATTTACAACAGCAGAAAATGGCCGCTTTGGGGGGGGGAATGGACATTATGGCTTTATACTGCGCCCTCCCCAGGCTCTCACTCACAAATCCCCCAACTTGGAGATGGCAACCCTGGACCTCATCTCTGTGGGGTTTTGTTAAAATCTAGAAGTCCCTGGTACGTGGCAGGCTTCAGACATGTTTTGAGAGAACCTTGTCTCAGCCCCATCCCCAGATCCGTTAACAGGTTATTACTGGGATTGACTGTTGGTTTCTATGCATGCAAACTGTACCCTTTGCAGCTGAGCAATGCCCCATTGAATAAGGCTTCCTAACTCCCCAAGCTCATTCTAAACTCCCCCTATGCGGTCCAACTAAACTGCTGAACAGTTGTGCCATTTTGCTCACCTGACCTTCTAGTTAATGAGAGCCAGTGAGGGGAAGTGGTTAGTGTTGGGCCAGGATCTGGGAGACCCTCCGTCGTGGAAACTTGCTGGGTGACCTTGGGCCAGTCACATAGTTCCTGAGCCTAATTTATCTCACTGGAATTCTTGTGAGGATAAAATGGAGGAGAGGAGAGAATGATGTGCGTTGTTTTGGGTCCCCGTTAGGAAGAAAGGTAAATGAAGGTAATAAAGGGAGAAAGGTCCACACTGAAGCAGAATATCAAGAATTGCTCTAATTCTAAATTAAAACATTACTTAATTTTATTCCT